AAATAATATAGTAAAATGTAAAATACTACTAATAATAAATACAATAACATATAATAATAGTATAAAATAATACAAAAATATAATAATAATAAATACAATAACGTATGGTATTATAATCATAATAAATACAATAATAATAAAATATATAAATATAAAATATATAAACTTAGAAAATAATAATATAGTAATATGTAAAATAAGAATGAATAAATGAAATAATATATAATGATTTAAAATAATATAGTAATATAATAATAATAAATAGTACAATATTTATTATTAGTAGTATTTTACATATTACTATATGTAAAAATATTATTATTGTACTATTTATTATTATATTTATATTATTCTATAATAAAGTACTACTAATAATAAATACAATATATAATGATAATAAAATAGAATAAATATAAATATGATAATATTTATAATACTAATAATATAGTAATGTATAAAATATATATTATATATTATATTTATTCATATTTTTACATTACTATATGTAAAAATATTATTATTGTACTATTTATTATAATATTTATATTATTCTATAATAAAATATACAAATAATAATAAAATATATAATATAATATAATAATGTAAAATATAATAATAATAATAATAATATAAATATGTAATAATAAATATAAATAATAATAATAATAATAAAATAATATATAATATAATAATATAATAAATAGTAAAATAATAATAAAAATAAATAAATATAAAAAAATATAATAATATAATATAATAAAATAAATAAATGTAATAAAAATAATAGATAAATATAAATAATAATAAAATAATATAGTAAATGTAAAATACACTAATAATAAATACAATAACATATAATAATAGTATAAAATAATAAATAATAATAAATACAATAATAATAAAATATAATATAATAATAATAAAATAATATAGTAATATGTAAAATACTACTAATAATAAAAATAACAATAATAGTATAAAATAATATATAATAATATAAAATACAATAATAATAATAAATAAATTAAATATATATAAAAATAATATAATATGTAAATATAATAATAATACAATAAATAATATTATAAAATATATATAATATAATATAATAATATAAATATATAAAAATATACAAATATAAATATAATATATAAAATAATAATATATATTAAATAATAATAAATAATAACATATAATATTAATAATAAATACATATATAATAAATAATACAATAAATAATAATATATAAAATAAATAATATGTAAATATTAATAAATACAATATAATAATAATAATATAGTAATATACAATAAATAGTCAATATAAAATATTATAAATATATAAAATAATATAGTAATATGTAAAATAATAATATTAAACAAAATAACAATAATAATATAAAATATATAGTAATATAATAATAATATAATGATAATAAATAGTACAATAATAAAATATATAAATATATAAAATAGCCATATAGTAACATTAGTAATATAGTTATAGTATAGTAATATATTTATAGTAATACTATATTACTATAACTATAGTAATATAGTAATTTGTAAAATAATGTATAAAATAGCAATATAGTAATATGTAAAATAATAATATTAAACAAAATAACATATAATAATAATATAAAATAGTATAGTAATATAATAATAATATACTAATATAATAATAATAGTAGTAGTAGTAATAATAATAATAATAACAATAATAATAATAATAAATAGTACAATAATAATAAAATACTGCACCCTCCATGAATAACTGACCTGGACCAAACTTGGCACACATCACCCCCGTGACCCACTCTATATCCTGGTGCAGTTTGAAGGAGGACAGACCATGAATGATGGGACTTGCAGTAACTTCATTTACTCCAGGAGGTGATTGAGACCCACAACAATGACGGATCAAGAACAAACTTGGCACAAAGGGTCCACGTGGCCCACTTTGCAACCTGGCGTGGTTTCAGACAGGATGGAACATGGATGATGGGACTTGCAGTACTTTCACTCCCTTCTAGAGACTACTGTGACCCACATCAATGAATGATAGAGACCAAGCTTAGCACACAGAGCCCCCATGACCAACTCAACATCCTGGTGTGGTTTGGGGGAGGATGGACCACGGATGATGGGAGTTGCAGTACCTTCACTCACTTCCAGAGACTACTGTGACCCACATCAATGAATGATAGAGACCAACCTTAGCACACAGAGCCCCCATGACCAACTCAACATCCTGGTGTGGTTTGGGGGAGGATGGACCACGGATGATGGGAGTTGCAGTACCTTCACTCACTTCCAGAGACTACTGTGACCCACATCAATGAATGATAGAGACCAACCTTAGCACACAGAGCCCCCATGACCAACTCAACATCCTGGTGTGGTTTGGGGGAGGATGGACCACGGATGATGGGACTTGCAGTACCTTCACTCACTTCCAGAGACTACTGTGACCCACATCAATGAATGATAGAGACCAA